GGAACAAAAGAAAAAAATTTACATTTAGTATTTTTTATTTACCCACATATTTACCATTTTTCTTTATGCTTGAGTTGCCATCTGATGTTACTTTCTTTCATTCTGAAGAAATTTCATTATTTCCTAGAGTGCCGGTATACTGGCAATGAATTCTCTTGTTTTTATTTATCTAAAAATGTCTTTATTTCACTTTTGTTTTTTAAATATAGTTTTCCTCCTGGTTAAATAAAACCAAGACTTTATGGAACTTTCTTGCTTTCAACGCTTTGGCTTAGTCATTCCAGTGTATTCTGGCCTCCATTGTTTCTGAGGAGAAGTCCATCATTGATATTCTTGTTCCCCTGTGTGTAATGTGCCTTTTTTAACCTGCTCCTTTCAAGACTTTTTTTTATTATGTATTTGACTTTCAGAAGCTTGACTATGATATACCTAGGTGTGGTTTTCTTTCTCTTTATCTTAGGTGGGATTTGTTGAGCTTCTTCATTCATTCTTCTGCCATTTCAGATTTTTTCTTGAGCCCATCTAGTAAAATTTTTTATTTCAATTATTAGGCTTTTCAGCTCTAGAATTTCCACTTTGTTCTTTTATAGTTTTCATTTCTTTATTGAGATTTCCTATGTGTTTACTCAATAACACCATTTTTTCCATTTGAATATATTTATAATAATAGCTGCTGTGAAATTATTGTCTGCTCAATCCAACATGCAGACTGTCTCAGAATCAATTTCCATTCATTGTTTTTTTTTTCTCTGAGTGAGTCAGACTTTTCAATTTCTTCTTCTTGTAACTTTTGGTTGAAAACTAGACATTATAGATTATTTCTGTACAACTCTTGAAATGTTTTATTCTGAGAGATGTTGGTTTTTTTCATTCTAGTAGCCAGTTAATGTACCTGACCTAAACTGCAAAATCAGTCTCCTCCATGGTGTGCAGTGGATGGTGTCTTTGCACAGGTTTTTCTTGGCTGCTAACTGCTGCCTCTTTAGCCTGTCCCCCCGGGGATACACCACCTTGTGTAGTGTAGAGTTCAGCCAAGGATATGGGCAGAATTGATACTAGGATTTGGAGACTTACCTGCTTAGTGTTCCCCTGGCTTACCTTCTTATGGGTTCCTTCCAGATTTCTACTTGTTTTTCCAGTCCCAAGTCTGACCTATGACACCTCAAACCAATAAGTCTTCTGCTGTCAGAAGCTCAAGCTATATGCAGTTTGGGGAAAGCGTTCTATCAAAGGCAAAAGAAACCTACATCTCACTAAAGGCAGTTCTATCTTGCAAGGATTGGCACCCACCCTAGTTTCTGCTTGCCTTTTTCAGCTGGGCTTCTTAGGATCTCCCATACACTTGCATGATTTTAACACTCAGCTAGGAATCTGGGCAGAGTATATCTTCACATTTTAGATTTCAGGTTTTTTACTTTCTTGTCTCCAAAATTTGCCTTTTAAATTTCCAGCTTCTCTGTTGTTTTGAACTCTCATCTTCTCCCTGGAGCTTCTAAGGCTGTGATTTTCTTCCCTGAACTTGGGAGATTGGGAAGTCAGTCCCTGCAGGCAAAAAGGTCCTAAATTCACAGTTCATACCTCATGTATCTCCTAAAGGTAGTGCTCAACTTTCTACCTTCTTTTGATTCTTTGCCAGTATTGCAGATGGTCTTTTATAATTTTTTTGTTCTGTAGTTATCATTCCCTTCTTTGGAGGGAACTGTCTTCACATTGCCATTATAAGATGTCCCACCTATCATGTCTTTTAGCCATTTTATAACACTGGGTAATCTCCTGGTTTAACAAAGAAACATGTCAGAGGCTCAGAATTTGCCAGTAGGCAAATAAATCTCTCTAGATGATTAATATTGTTTTGTTTTTATTCTAGTATCTTCAAGATTACCTTCTTTGTAGCATATTTTATAGGTTTTCCAATTATGATAATATAAAGTTTCCCTTTTAAATGATAAAGCAAAAATTGTACAGGTGGTATACAAACAATTGATGTTTGTGAAATAGTGATGAAATGTATTATCCTTACCTTCACCCATTGTTTTTAGAGAAATGCCTCTTTCCCCTCCTTCCTCTCTCCTCCTCTCCTTTCCCTCTAAACTCTCAGCCAGAATAAATTCAGAATATTGTCTGCAGGAATGCGCTAGTCCAGAATATAATTTGTCCCAAATATTGCTTCTTCCTAAAATCATTTCTGTTCTACTTCCATTTTTGCCTTCATGCCCTAACTCCTGTATGCAAAAGACAAGATTTTTTGTGAGTTCTCTCCTCCCATTCTCAGATTGTGTTTATTTGTGCTATAGTTTTCATTTATATAAAATTTTGGATGTAGATGACTCCACTGTCAAATTAGATTCAGAGAAACAAACAGGTAGTTTTCCTCAATGTCTTTCTACATTTAAGTTAATTGGGACTTTTAATTTATTGCCCTCATTTTGCCCTCAAAGGTTGTCACATAGAAAGAAGAGAGGTGATTAAAGTGAACTCCTATAGATCACTTTCAGTTTTACTTCCTCATGTATTTACTTTTTATCCAGCGATAATTTATTAGTTTTAAAAAAACAAACTTTTAAATGGTTTTATTGTTTGAAAGTAACTAGTGCATTGGAGAAGTATATTGGACTTATGCTCATAGCATTGACCTTCTGTTACCAGGGAAAAAGGAAAAGCCAAAGAAGTTCACTAAACAACCAAAAAAGCAGATATCTTCACCTTGTTGTCAGAAGAAAGAAAAGGCTTTGGAAAAGGTAACTCTAAATTGTCTATTACAATTCTAAGGGTCACATTGAGAAATAAGCAAGTATAGCCAGGAAAAATCTGAAAAAGAAGAGTAAAAGTACCCCAATGGGGGAGGGAGGATGGGTGAAGTAGGTGAAAGGGTTAAAGAAGTATAAACTTCAAATTATAAAATAGATCAGTCACAGGAATGGAAGGACAGCGTGGAGATTATCCCATATGTTGTAGTATCTTGGTGTGATGGCAGAGGGTGGCAACACTTGCTATGCTGACCATTTGGTAATGTATATAATTATCAAATCACTGCTGTACATCTGAAACTAATAAAATACTGTATACCAACTAAATACCAATTAAAAAATACAGTAGAATGCTAACAGTGTAAGAGTGAATGAAGAAGTTCCATAGAGACTGAGAATAAAGATCTCTAAGATACACTGATAGGTTAAAAAAAAAAGGAATGCATAGTGACATATTTATATTACCATATGTGTAGAATAAGTAGAATAATATTTATGAATTTCCTTGTATATACATAAGATATCTCTGGAAAACTACACAAGAAGTTTATAAAATTGTTGCCTCTATGGAAAAGAACTGAATGTTTGGGGAATAGGCTTTTTATTACATGTGCTATTTGAACCTTTTGAATTTTGAACCAATATTACTTATTCAAGAAGTAAGATAAACTTTAAAAATTTTTAATAAACTATCTTTTAAAATAAATTTTTCTCTCCCCGTGCCTTCAAAGGAAGGGATAAAAAGCCAGGTAGGAATAAGAGGACAGTAATAACCACAGTTGGCTAAAAGAGATTTAAAAAATATGTGAGAGGCTGGGTTGAGAAAAGTTCCACACAATTCCATTGGATGGATTGTTAAGTACCAGAAATACATGAATGGGTGAATTCTAAAAAGTTGCTTAAGCTGGGGCTTCCAGGTCAGACAGGTGAAGTGGGTTCAAATTCTTGGTCTGTATCTTTTTGGACAGATTTCTTAACTTCTCCAAACCTGTTTTATTATAAAGATAATAATAGTACCTGTCTCATATGGTTGTTAACAAGGCTTAAATGCAATAATACTTGTAATGTTCTTGATACAGTGTCTTGCATTTAATAAATCTAAGCTCTTTTTATTATTAACACTAATCAGTAAATATGTTCTAATTGGGCCTTAATGTCTCCTTTTTCTTAGCCAACTTCTAGAGACGTGTCTCCTTTCATGTGAGTATTGCTCCTTAATCTAATCAGATGTCCACTCTTAACTCATCAGTGCTAATTTTTAATTTTCTCAATAGTGTGAGTATGCAGAAGAATAAGTGGGATGCCACAAGATCCTTGAGATTCAACCAGGATGCACAAAGAGAAGATGGTAAGTTTCACAATCTGGGTAATGTACAAGTTAAGTATAAATAACAGAGAGGAATCTTTCATTTTATGAAGTATGCTGAGTAGCTTTAAGGGTTCCAACTGAAATAAGGTCCAGAATTAGCACATTCCTTAGCATCCACCAGAGTTTTATTACTAGACAATCCCAGAATATAATATATTGTTTTATGTACCTATGGTTTTGAGGTCTCTCAAACTGACTTGCTCATTATTTTTACTCTAAAGATGACTGAATATGTTCTAGGTTGGTTTACAGTAATATTAAAAGCAACATAGTTATCGATGTTTGAGCTATTTTGCCTCTTGCTGCCTAAAATTCTTCAAAGATAAGTAGGTGTATATGTCTTTAAAGTAATATACAATGATATTTTCATAAATGCTCGTGATTGCAGCCTTTAAGAAGTAAAAGTTATAAATCATCTTCATGCAAAAGTAAGGTTTGTTATTTGTTACTTTTAGATCAGCGGCGGATGTCTGAAATTACAGGGCACCTAATAAAGATGAGATTAGGTGATCTGGACCGAGTTAAGTCAAAGGAAGCAAAAGAAGTAAGAATTATATACTAGTGTGTACTGTGTTTGCTTGACTACACTTCCCTACTTTCACCATGAGGAGTATAAAAATATTTTAGGCAGAATTTTAGAAGAGTAATTTTAATATTTTTATATTCTGTACCAGTTAGCCAGTTCATTCTCAAAAGTTTTCCAGTACCTCTTATTATCCATGGTCCATAGGTGCTCTATAACGCACATAATAAAGTACATTGTTGCTGAAATTGTAATGTCATACCAAGAGTAGATTAATTGCATTGCTAACCAAATGCTGACTACCCAGAGAGTGACTTTTTGGAAGTTGCTGATTTCAGTCAACTCTGCATGTATTAGGTATTCTCTCTAAAGTAAGGTGGTATCTTGCTGAAAATGATGACTAGAAATACCTATATTCGTACTAGATTTACATATTAGTCATAGTGTCATGATTATTGGTATTATGTAGTCACAGTAACTCTTGCCCTTGTTCTTTTAAAAATTTATTTCCCTATGAAACATCTAAAAGAAAACATTAAAAAATCTTTATGACCGTTAGGCAAATATATCTTAGCTATGACACCAAAAGCATGATCCATAAAAGGAAACATTGACAAATTGGACTTCATCAAAACTGAAAAGTTCTTGTTTTTGAAGACACTATTAAGAGAATGAAAGGATAAGCCACGAACTATGAGAAAATATGTGTAAAACCCTTATATTTTCCATCCAGAAAGGATTTTTATCCAGAATATATAAAGAACTTTCAAACTCAATAATAAATAATTCAACAAAAATTAACAGGCAAAGATTAACCATTTTATGAAAGAAGGGATACAGATGGCAAATAAGCACATGAAAAGATGCAACAACATTAGTCAATAGAGAAATCTAAATTAAAACGTCAATGAGATACCATTACATACCACCTAGAATGTCTAAAATTAAGAGGAAAAAAAAAAGCTGGCCAGGATGTAGAGCAACAGGAGCTCTCATGTATAACTAACAGGGATGCCTAAAGGAACTGCCATTTTGGAAGACAGTTTGTCAGCTTCTTACAAAGTTTAGACATTCACTCACCATATGGATCAGTTCACACAGTTTATAATAGCTTTATTCACATTCACCAAAAACTAGAAACAACCCAAATGTCCTTTATCTGGTGAACAAATAAACAGACTGTGGCACATATAAAAAAGAAAAACCTACTTTTGTATCTATGATACATTCAACAACATAGGTTGATCTCCTCTACACTATGCTAAGAGAAAATAGCCACATTCAAAAGGCTACTGACTGTATGATTCTATTTATATAATGTTTTGGAAAATAGAAAAATGTAAAGACTTAAAACATTTACTTAAATGCTTTTGCCAGGAATTGGTGGTAACAAATAGATTGACTTAAAAAAGGCACAAAGGTATTTTCTTGGGGTGATGGAACTGTTGTATGTCTCCATTATTACAATGGTCACACAATTGTACCCATTTGTCAAACCTCAGAACTCTACACTAAAAAGCATGAATTTTACTGTATATAAAATATCAAAATTCTAAATTAAAAAGCAATGCAGTTTTAATAAAGCAGAATTTCCATTGATTCTGTAGAAATTATAATAATTTAATTTTTCTCCTTTACCATGCAGTTTGCAGGAGGTATTTATTCCAGGCTTGAAGCACAGATCAAGGCCTCTGTTCCAGTCAGCGCAAGGCAAAGCAGCTCAGAGAAAAACACAAGGTAAATCAGCACAGATGAACTCAGAATGCCACTGGCTTTGAGGTGATTTTTTTTTTTTTTTTAGGGAAAATCATGAACACTAGAGACATACAATTTCAGTTTAGTTTTGCCTGGTTTCAAGGATTACATCAACAGCACATTAGTCACAACCACATTTTAACTTAAAAGTTAAGACAAAATTTAATGAATGTGGGAGAGGAGCCAAGTTGGCGGCGTGAGTAGAGCAGCGGAAATCTCCTCCCAAAACCTTATATATTTTTGAAAATACAACAAATACAACTCTTCCTAAAAGAGAGACCAGAAGACACAGGACAACATCCAGGCTACATCTACACCTCACGGAGGGGGGAGATACCAGTCAAGGCCCCACAGGACCTGAGCACACCCCTAACCCCAGCTCCCAGTGGGAGGAGAGGAGTAGGACCGGGCAGGGAGAGGGAGCCCAGGACTGCTAACTACCCAGCCCTAGCCATCCGCACCAGGAGCGCAGGCACACAGTACGTGGTGTGCTGGATACTAGGGAAACAGGACACTAAAACCTGCGAGCGGGTCCCCGCAGCTAGCCCCTGGGAAAAAGAAAAGAGTGCTTTTTCAAACTCTTAAAGAGACGGGGCCTCACAGCTGGATGGAAGCATCCTGGCACACTCAGCCCAGCAGCTGGGAATCCTGGGGAACTCCGGGTGCCCTAAACCCCTGGGTGGCAGCGCATATTGGAGGCCGCTCACGGCATTAAACAGCATCCCGCCTGTTCCCCCTCCGACATAGCCCCACCATAGTAGAGCAACAGCCTGAGACCAGCCACACCCACAGCAGCCACCTGGGCCAGACTAAGAGGCCCCCTCTCTGCATAGCTGCCACCACAAGCCACTAGGTGTTGCTGTTCTCCCAGGAGAGGAAGGACACAAACTAGCAAGGGACGTTCTCCCAGCTGACACACATGCCAACTCCCCACAACTACCTCTATCACCATGAAACGGCAGAAGAATTTGATCTAGACCAGAATCACACAGACATCCTCCCCTGAGAGGGAACCTGGGGAGATAGACCTAACCAATCTACCTGAAAAAGAATTCAAAATAAAGGTCATAACCATGCTGATGGAGCTGAGAGAAAAATGCAAGAGCAAACCAACAAAGTAGGGAGGAAGACTACAGAAATAAAACAATCTCTGGAAGGACTTAAAAAGCAGAATGGACGACATGCAAGAGGCCACTAATGGAATAGAAACCAGAGAACAAGAGCATAGAAGCTGACCCAGAGAGAGATAAAAGGATCTCCAGAAATGAAACAATATTAAGAGAACTGTGTGACCAATCCAAAAGGAACAATTTCCGCATTATAGGGGTACCAGAAGAAGAAGAGAGAGAAAAGGGATAGAAAGTGTATTTGGAGAAATAATTGCTGAAAACTTCCCCAAACTGGGGGAGGAAATAGTCACTCAGATCACAGAAGCACACAGAACTCCCAACAGAAGGGACCCAAGGAGGACAACACCAAGACACATAATAATTACAATGACAAAGATCAAGGACAACGACAGAGTTTTAAAGGCAGCTAGAGAGAGGAAAAAGGTCACCTACAAAGGAAAACCCATCAGGCTATCATCAGACTTCGCAACAGAAACCTTACAGCCCAGAAGAGAATGGCATGATATATTCAATGCAATGAAACAGAAGGGCCTTGAACCAAGGATACTGTATCCAGCATGATTATCATTTAAATATGAAGGAGGGATTAAGCAATTCCCACACAAGCAGAATTTGAGGGAATTTGCCTCCCACAAACCACCTCTACAGGGTATTTTAGAGGGACTGCTCTAAATGGGAGCACTCCTGAGGCTAAATAGATGTCACCAGAGAAAATAAAATCACAGCAAAGAAAGCAGACCAACCAAATACTAACTAAAGGCAAAAAATAAAATCAACTACCCACTAAAAGCAGTCAAAGGAAATGCAAAAGAGCACAGAATAAAACACTCAACATATAAAAAATGGAGGAGGAGGAGGAATGAGAAGGGAGAGAAATAAAGGAACATCAGACAGTGTTTATAATAGCTCAATAACCGAGTTAAGTTAGACGGTAAGATAGTAAAGAAGCTAACCTTGAACCTTTGGTAACCATGAGTCTAAAGCCTGCAATGGATCCACTGGACAGAAAATAAGTAAGGACACAGAGGCACTGAGCAACACACTAGAACAGATGGACCTAACAGACATCTACAGAAATCTACATCCAAAAGCAACAGGATACATTCTTCTCAAGTGCACATGGAACATTTTCCAGAATAGACCACATACTAGGCCACAAAAAGAGCCTCAGTAAATTAAAAAAGATTGAAATCCTACCAACCAACTTTTCAGACCACAGAGGTATAAAACTAGAAATAAATTGTACAAAGAAAGCAAAAAGGCTCATAAACACATGGAGGCCTAACAACATGCTCCTAAATAATCAATGCATCAACGACCAAATTAAAATAGAGATCAAGCAATATATGGAAACAAATGACAACAACAACACAAAGCCCCAACTTCTGTGGGATGCAGCAAAGGCAGTTCTAAGAGGAAAGTATATAGCAATCCAGTCATACTTAATGAAGGAAGAACAATCCCAAATGAATAGTCTAATGTCACAATTATCAAAATTAGGAAAATGAAGAACAAATGAGGCCTAAGGTCAGCAGAAGGAGGGACATAATAAAGATCAGAGAAGAAATAAGTAAAATTGAGAAAAATAAAACAATAGAAAAAATCAGTGAAACCAAAGGCTGGTTCTTTGAGAAAATAAACAAGACAGATAAGCCTCTAGCCAAATATATTAAGAGAAAAAGAGAATCAACACACATCAACAGAATCAGAAATGAGAAAGGAAAAATCACAACAGACCCCATAGAAATGCAAAGAATTATTAGAGAATGCTATGAAAACCTATATGCTAACAAGCTGGAAAACCTAGAAGAAATGGAAAACTTCCTAGAAAAATATAACCTTCCAAGACTGACCAAGGAAGAAACACAAAAGCTAAACAAACCAACTACCAGCAAAGAAATTGAAGCATTAATCAAAAAACTACCCAGGAACAAAACCCCGGGCCAGATGGATTTACCTCGGAATTTTATCAGACATACAGAGAAGACATAATACCACTCTCCTTAAAGTTTTCCAAAAAATAGAAGAGGAGGGAATACTCCCAAACTCATTCTATGAAGCCAACATCACCCTAATACCAAAACCAGGCAAAGACTCCACCAAAAAAGAAAACTACAGACCAATATCCCTGATGAACATAGATGCAAAAATACTCAATAAAATATTAGCAAACCAATTTCAAAAATACATCAAAACGATGATACACCATGACCAAGTGAGATTCATCCCAGGGATGCAAGGATGGTACAACATTCGAAAATCCATCAACATCATACACCACATCTACAAAAAGAAGGACAAAAACCACATGATCATCTCCATAGATACTGAAAAAGCATTCAACAAAATTCAACGTCCATTCATGATAAAAACTCTCAACAAAATGGGTATAGAGGGCAAGTACCTCAACATAATAAAGGCCATATATGATAAACCCACAGCCAACATCATACTGAACAGCGAGAGGCTGAAAGCTTTTCCTCTGAGATCGAGAACAAGACAGGAATGCCCACTCTCCCCACTGTTATTTAACACTGTATTGGAGGTCCTAACCATGGCAATTAGACAAAACAAAGAAATACAAGGAATCTAGATTGGTAAAGAGGAAGTTAAACTGTCACTATTTGTAGATGACATGATATTGTACATAAAAACCCTAAAGATTCCACTCCAAAACTACTAGAACTAATTTTGGAATTTAGCTAAGCTGCAGGATACAAAATTAATACACAGAAAGCTGTGGCTTTCCTATACACCAATAATGAACTAATAGAAAGAGAAATCAGGAAAACAATCCCATTCACAATAGCTTCAAAAAGAATAAAATACCTAGGAATAAACCTAACCAAAGAAATGAAAGACCTATACCCTGAAAACTATAAGACACTCTTAAGAGAAGTTAAAGAGGACACTAACAAATGGAAACTCATCCCATGCTCCTGGCTAGGAAGAATTAATATAGTCAAAATGGCCATCCTGCCCAAAGCAATCTACAGATTCAATGCAATCCCTATCAAATTACCAACAGCATTCTTCAATGAACTTGAACAAATAATTCAAATATTCATATGGAAACACCAAAGACCCCGAATAGCCAAAGCAATCCTGAGAAGGAAGAATAAAGTGGGGGGGGATGTCTCTCCCCAACTTCAAGCTCTACTACAAAGCCACAGTAATCAAGACAATTTGGTACTCACACAAGAACAGAGCCACAGACCAATGGAACAGAATAGAGACTCCAGACATTAACCCAGACATATATGGTCAATTAATATACAATAAAGGAGCCATGGACATACAATGGGGAAATGACAGCCTCTTTAACAGTTGGTGCTGGCAAAACTGGACAGCTACATGTAAGAGAATGAAACTGGATCACTGTCTAACCCCATACACAAAAGTAAATTCAAAATGGATCAAAGACCTGAATGTAAGTCATGAAACCATAAAACTCTTAGAAAAAAACATAGGCAAAAATCTCTTGGACATAAACATGAGTGACTTCTTCATGAACATATCTCCCTGGGCAAGGGAAACAAAAGCAAAAATGAACAAGTGGGACTAAATCAAGCTGAAAAGCTTCTGTACAGCAAAGGACACCATCAATAGAACAAAAAGGTACCCTACAGTATGGGAGAATATATTCATAAATGACAGATCCGATAAAGGGTTGACATCCAAAATATATAAAGAGCTCACGCACCTCAACAAACAAAAAGCAAATAATCCAGTTAAAAAATGGGCAGAGGAGCTGAACAGACAGTTCTCCAAGGAAGAAATTCTGATGAGCAATAGACACATTAAAAGATGCTCCACATCACTAGTCATCAGAGAAATGCAAATTAAAACCACAATGAGATATCACCTCACACCAGTAAGGATCGCCACCACCCAAAAGACAGACAACAACAAATGTTGGCAAGATTATGGAGAAAGGGGAATCCTCCTACTGTTGGTGGGAATGTAAATTAGTTCAGCCATTGTGAAAAGCAATATGGACGTTCCTCAAAAAGCTCAAAATAGAAATACCATTTGACCCAGGAATTCCACTCCTAGGAATTTACCCTCAGAATACAGCAGCCAAGTTTGAAAAAGACAGATGCACCCCTATGTTTATCACAGCACTATTTACAATAGCCAAGATATGGAAGCAATCTAAGTGTCCATCAGTAGATGAATGGACAAAGAATATGTGGTATATATACACAATGGAATATTATTCAGCCATAAGAAGAAAACAAATCCTACCATTTGCAACAACATGGATGGAGCTAGAGGGTATTATGCTCAGTGAAATAAGCCAGGCAGAGAAAGACATGTTCTAAATGATTTCACTCATCTGTGGAGTATAAGAACAAAAGAAAAACTGAAGGAACAAAACAGCAGCAGACTCACAGAACCCAAGAATGGACTAACAGTTACCAAAGGGAAAGGGACTGGCGAGGATGGGTGGGAAGGGAGGGATAAGGGTGGGGGAAAAAGATAGAGGGCATTACGATTAGCATGTGTAATGGGGATGGGGGCACGAGGAAGGCTGTACAACACAGAGAAGACAAGTAGTGATTCGATAGCATCTTACTACGCTGATGAACAGTAACTATAATGGGGTTTATGGGGGGGACTCAGTGAAGGGGGAGCCTAGTAAACATAATGTTCTTCATGTAATTGTATATTAATGATATCAAAATTTAAAAAATTTAATGAATGTAATTTTTTTTTCATTGTCTGTTTATTGAGTAAGCTGAGACAACAGATAAAATACAAGCTGATAAAAATGTAAACTGTAGTGCTTTCATGAATTAGTAGAATTTTTATGCTATTTATAGGTTATATAGTTACATAATATAAATCATTGAAGTCTTTCTCATTTCTTGTTTTATATTATTTCTCTTAATAAAAGTTCTATCTTCTGGGTCCTATGTCATTTTATCACATATTCTTTTAAAAATTAACATTTACTTAGATTTGCTCATTAATACTACAGATCCAAACGTCTATCTGCAATTCTGAAATACAAAGAGCTCACAAAACCAAAAAATTTCTTCATATGTTTCTGGCAACTCAAACCTAAACTGAATTACTTTGGTACTTTTTATAAGTGTTATCCATCCTACTTAATGTAAATATTCACTTATTTTACCATTGATGTGTTTGATTATGGGGCACTGCTCCAGATCCATAATACATAACATACCATATTATCTCCCAAAACTCAAAAAATAACTCAATTCCAAAAGCCATTTCACTCCAAGGGTTTTTAAAAGTGGATTGTGGCGCTATATAAAGTTTCATTAAACTTTGATACTGTCGAGCAAAGATAACCTAAACCAGCAACAGTTTCCTATTGTTTTAGAAGCACCTCTGACATTCTTTTCTGTTTAAAAAATGTAGGTCTAAAAGCCGTTTTGGTCCAGGGCGTCCTGCATAAGACACCTTACCACATAACTAACTACAAAGACAGAAGACATACCTCTGAACAACTAAAAATTGCTTGCTTCTTGAAGATCTTCAGAACAATGACTTCTAAATGTTCTAAATTATGTATTATTCTTGCAAGCCAGATAAATCATAATGCTAAGGAAAATGTATACAGTCTTATGAAACCTAAATATGAAACTTCTTAAATCTAATTTTCTTTTAGTGTGATGCCAGGTTATGTAGAAAAATTAGTATTCACAGTTTGCATAGCTAAGACTCCTAATATCTGTTCTCTTTTATTTATTTGGAAAGGAAGAGGCCTAAACTCTCAAGCAGCTAAAATAAAATTTTTAAGATGTAAAAAATTAAGGGGACACAGCTGATATGGTACTGTGCATGTGCACTGATTGTGGTATATCTTTTGGCTGTAAATCTTGGGATAGCATCGAGAACTGCAGTTTATGTGATGAAATTCCCAGTGATGCTAATTTTAAGTTTGCATGAATATTAAGGAGTGACAGATTTCAAGATTGCTTTGAATAAAGTTTCAAGGTGAGGTATTTCCTGTGTTAGGCAGAAGGGTTCATTTTTTCAACATTGTTCCATGGAAAGCACAATGGTAATCCAACTTTTTTTCCTCAGTTTTTAATGTTTTTCTATTGGTCATTTGAGCTGGAATTACTGATTATTACCCCTTTCCTCTGTGAAGCTAGTGCCATTCTGAATTTGTTAAAATGACTTTTGATAGTTTTAGGATAGTAAATCATTTCAGTTGTGTGAGACATCCATCATACAGTTCTCAGGTCTCTAAAACCCAGCTATATTTCTGTAGCCATTCCAATAGCACCTTAAAACAGTTATAATTACTACTTTAGTAATGTCTAGAAGAAAATATTCCAAAATGGGTAAATTGCATATATTCAAAAGAAATGAAAATAAAAAATTTCTCTACAGACTAATTAATTTTTCTGACCAAGCAGAAAGAGTGCTCAGGGAAAATTTTTTCCAGACCATAAGCATATAAAAAAATTATGTGTTTGGATATTACATGTTGGTCTCTGAAAAACTGTAAGATGCACTGTTTCTAGTTTTAGTCTTCATTTACCTTATAATTGAAATTTCAACATATTATTTAGAGAACAGACTGATAATGTGTGACAGAACGCCAATTTCCATTGAAATGTTAAAATGTTACAATCAGTTTACATGTACAGAAATTATTTTTTTCAGTGCGTGTTTTAGTTGGTAAATGAACTGGATGTTTTTTGATGTTATATATGTATGGCTTTGCCAAGCATTTTGAACTTCTGTTTGGAAATTTTGTTCCAGTTTGTATATTTTTCAACTGTTTGATATTTTGAAAAAGATTATAAAATTTTTATTTTCAAAAGAAAATGTTTTATACATGATCTGTAAGCCCTGTTAAATCCAGAGCCTTGTTTAGTTTACTGTATTCTCTGATTAAAAGAATTTAGGTTTGTACATGTTATATGTCATGTGATGGTCTCAACTAGAAGAGGAAATATACACTCTTGATTTTTAACTGATGGTAAAAAGGCAAATTGCTTCTCCCTTGGGGAGCTGTACCACTGAATTGATTTTTACAAACCAGCCTTTATCAGAATTTGATATCTTCAGAGTATGGTTTTATTTTGTTAGTGTCCATAATACATAACACAGGTACCACATTTTGATCAACCTCTAAATAGAGGTTTTTTGCCAAATACTGTGAGGTTTCACCTCATATTAATTCTGAATTAAAATTTCTCTGGTAGAAATAAATGTTAATGACAAAAGTTGTTTGAAAAGTCCTTGATTTGAATCAGTCCATCTAAAAAGTCTGTATGGGCCCTATTTGACAGGTTTTCATGAAAATTAGCTCTGTTACAAGGTAAACTTTGTAAATTTTAATATTGTTTTTAAATTTTTTAATTTTATTCTGGTAAAGATTCAGCAATGCATTTGAGGGATAAAATACTGCAGAAAAGATTATTTGGTAACAGTGCTGATTCTACACTGCTGTATTGTTTTGTCTGTAATTTTCCTTTTTCAGAACACTCAGCCAAATATTGTGAGATGTTATGAGGATAATATTAAGATTAATGTAAAGATGATATGGGGATAATATTCCAATCCTTGTAGGATTATTGGTGAATTAAATGATTTGTAGACCTAAAACAACACAGTACTTTCTGGCTAAGCCCTCCATAAATGTTAATTGTTGTTGTGTTGCATTGTTATTTTAATATTTTGAAAGGAGCCTTAGATTTTTTTAAGATGAAGGTTTGATATTCATCTTCTTATAATCTGAGTTGCTAAGAATGATGTGTATTTGTGTCTAATGCAAGAAAGAAAAGAGGTCTCTAATACTTTGGTGGTTGCTAGGGCATCATTTGTTATTTTATTATATTAAAGGTCTTGTGTTGTTTAGGAAGAGTAAACATCATTTGTAAGAAGAGCTAGGTAGGAAAACTCTGATATGTGGTAGTGAGGGACCTGTTCTGTTTTCAAAGACATTAACTGAGGGGGAGAGAGTGAAGACTACACCATAGTCTAAAAGCAGTCCTCCTTCCAAGATGTATCTTTCCTGGAGAAAATGTAGCTAGCTTGCCTCTCACTATATGTGTATAAGGCCAGTTCTTATCAAACTAGAGGTGATGTAGAAGAGTAGTGCTATTTGTCGAATGTAAATGCTGAGGATGGAGCTAGCTTTCTTGGATGCCTTATCTCCTTCAGCCTCACAGTAAACCCCCCAGTTGGGTGTCATCTTCATTTTATAGGTGGAGAAGAAAGTTCAGGGAGGTGAGGTCCTACACACTGGGATTGGAATCTGGGCCTATGAGCATGTTCCAACACCTTCTTGGAACAATTTGTTTATTTATTTTTATTTTGTTATCATTAATCTAAATTACATGAAGAACATTATGTTTACTAGGGTCCCCGCTTCACCAAGTTCCTCCCACATACCTGATTGCAGTCACTGTCCATCAGCATAATAAGATGTTGTAGAATCACTACTTGTCTTCTCTGTGTTGCACAACCCTCCCCAAGTCCCCCCCCATATTATACATGCTAATTGTAATACCCTCTTTCTTTTTCCCCACCCTTAACCCTCCCTTCCCTCCCATTCTACTCAGTCCCTTTCTCTTTGGTAACTGTTAGTCCATTCCTGGGTTCTGTGATTCTGCTGCTGTTTTGTTCCTTCGGTTTTTCTTTGTTCTTATACTCCACATATGAGTGAAATCATTTGGTATTTGTCTTTCTCCGCCTGGCTTATTTCACTGAGCATAATACCCTCTAGCTCCATCCATGTTGTTGCAAATGGTAGGATTTGTTTTCTTCTTATGGCTGAATAATATTCCATTGTGTATATGTACATCTTTATCCATTCATCTACTGAAGGGCACTTAGGTTGCTTCCATTTCTTGGCTGTTATAAATAGTGCTGCAATAAACATAGGGGTGCATATGTCTTTTTCAAACTTGGCTGCTGCATTCTTAGGGTAAATTCCTAGGAGTGGAATTCCTGGGTCAAATGGTATTTCTATTTTGAGCTTTTTGAGGAACCTCCATACTGCTTTCCACAGTGGTTGAACTAATTTACATTCCCACCAGCAGTGTAGGAGGGTTCCCCTTTCTCCACATCCTTGCCAACATTTGTTTTTGTTTGTCTTTTGGATGGTGGCGATCCTTACTGGTGTGAGGTGATATCTCATTGTGGTTTTAATTTCATTTCTCTGATAACTAATGATGTGGAGCATCTTTTCATGTGTCCGTTGGCCATTGGAATTTCTTCTGTGGAGAGCTGTCTGTTCAGCTCCTCCGCCCATTTTTTAATTGAATTATTTGCTTTTTGTTTGTTGAGGTGTGTGAACTCTTTATATATTTTGGATGTCAACCCTTTATCGAATCTGTCATTTATGAATATATTCTCCCATACTGTAGGGTACCTTTTTGTTCTATTGATGGTGTCCTTTGCTGTACAGAAGCTATTCAGCTTGATGTAGTCCCACTTGTTCATTTTTGCTTTTGTTTCCCTAACCCGGGGAGATATGTTCATGAAGAAGTCGCTCATGTTTATGTCCAAGAGATTTTTGCCTATGTTTTTATCTAAGAGTTTTATGGTTTCATGACTTACATTCAAGTCTTTGATCCATTTCGAATTTACTTTTGTGTATGGGGTTAGACAGTGATCCAGTATCATTCTCTTA